CACATACATTATGTCACATGTACACACAAATGCACACACAAAGAAGGGGAAGGAAGAGAGGAAGGGAGAAAATAAATAAATACAATAGAATTATGTATGTATGTATGTATGTATGTATGTATGTATGTATGTATGTATGTATATTTCTTCATCAAGAGGAGGATAGGCAAATACTATGCGGATATGGACTCTGGTCTGAGACTAGTTGATTTTGGAGACCAGGTTTCCCAGTTACCAACGTTGGAGCTTATTCTCATGGGTAGGCAATGTAGTGAGTCAACACTCCAGCTCTAGAATCAGACTTTCTGAGTTTAAAATCTGACACAACTCACAATGTGTATTTACTCTGAGTTAATGGAAAACCTCAAGGCTCCTTCCTTGTTGGCACCTCTTTCAACATCCTCTATATTTTATAGTTGTCAGTTTGTGTTCTGCCTCTGAAAGAGGCTGCTTAATACTATAAATCAAAACTTTCAGATTGCAAAAATCCTGACCCCAAATTTGGCTCCATTGGTTACTCTCTTATAAGTTGTGCTGGGAATTTGTGTTTCAGTTGGACCATTTGTAAAATGGCATGAAATTAGAAACTGACTGCAAAATATGACTACAAATTGCAGTGAGGGACTTCGCAGAGAATGTTTAGAACTCTGCCATGGACTGCCATATGCCCATGTGTGCTGCCTTCTGTGACCCCCCTATGCGGCCACTCTTTATCTGGGTCTTTGTGTTCATGTTAGACTCAGTGTCACCTTTTTCTAGCCTGAGACAAGCTTCACCTTAGTCCTCCATCCCTTCCTTTTGTGTCAGTGTTCACCTCTCTTGGAAGCCTCTTGAGTACATTTAGTAAGTAGGGTTTTTACGTGTTTGTGATATATAATTAGTCTCTTAAACCTGCTGGGTTGCTCTTGGCTGAAAGCAGCATAAGTTTGGTTCATATTTTTTTCTTAGGAGCTACCTGCCAGAGAGGGTTTCTCTACAATAATATTGGCAAGAGAATGACATTGTCATCAACTTTTGTCATAAATTATATTTTGAAGACATTATTACATGTCATTTATAGAACTGGAACAGAATTATTTAGTGTGTGTATCGCTGTGTGTGTGCGTGTGTGTGTGTGTGTGTGTGTGTGTGTACTATGAAAGCAGAATAAAACAGAAGGGGCCTTATTTGTGGGGAGAAGAATGACCCACTAGAAAGGGAGAAGGATGAGGAGAAAGGGTAGCAGGGAGGGCATAAGAGCAGCATACACTGATATTCATTGATCTAAAACGTAATTGTTAAACCTGTTATTTTATATATTCACAATGAAAGAATTATTACACTGAAATAGAGTTCAAAAAAGGAAAAAAAAAAAAAAAAGGAAAACCCCATAGGGCTTAACACTCTGTCTGCTATGGGACACTAAAAGTAAGTATGTTTTCCTGGTCTCTGTTTGTAGCTTAGCCCAGGGGTAATGAGTAAGAACAGACTCTCCTGCAGCATGTGCAGCATTCTGTTTCTCCATTTTCATCAGCACAGTGAGGGTAGCAGCTGAGAAAACTGTAACAGTGATCAAATGCTTGCCGTTTGGTGCACAGGCCAGAGGAGTTTCCAAAACCAATCCTATTGCCACTAAAGTGAAGATATTTAATCAACATTTGTCTATATTTATGTCAGTATAAAAAAAAAAAAAAAAAAAAACTCCTGTGCCAGGATGTCTCTGCGACACAGTTGGAGTTCTGTTCCAGTGGACGGAGTCCTTGTCATTATCCTCCAAGATGCCTTTTACCAAGCTGTGGAAAGTTACTGAACATTTTTAATGCTGAAAGGTCTGATTCCAGAATGTAACTATGTAATTCTAACCAAAGAAAGCAACATCTCATTCTAGAGACTTTGAGCATCTGAATAACTTACTCTTACTCCTGAAGTACAGAAGAGCGTAACAAACACGAACTTCACCACGCTGTCAGGGACTATGGTTATACTTCCCCATCATCCAAAGAGCTCAGAACTTGCCTAGTTCTCTCAGCTATATTATTGGTAGTGGTTTGGGGATAACTACTCCTAATCATATTACAATTATAAGACAGATAGTAATTTTGCTACTGTTGTGAATCATAATGTAAATATACATGTTCTCTGATGATCTTGAATAACCCCTGTGGATCTGACCTTCCCAAGGGGGCTGCAACCCACAAATTGAGAACCACAACTCTAGGGTGAACAGTAGATAGACTTTCCAGTTTAAAATGTGTTATTTCCAGGTTCTGACTATTACGAATAAAACTGCTACAAACATGGTTGAGCAAATGTCCTTGTTGTGTACTTGAGCATCTTTTGGATATATGCCTAGGAGTGGTATAGCTGGATCTTGAGGAAGCACTATTCCTTGTTGTCTGAGAAAGCGCCAGATTGATTTCCAAAGTGGTTGTACAAGTTTACATTCCCACCAGCAGTGGAGGAGGGTTCCCCTTTCTCCACAACCTCTATAGCATGTGTTGTCACTTGAGTGTTTAACCTTTGCCATTCTGATGGGTGTAAGGGTCATTTTGATTTGCATCTCCATGAAGGCTAAGGATATTGAGCATCTCTTTAGGTGTTTCTCTGCCACTCTATATTCCTCTACAGAGAATTCTCTGTTTAGCTCCATACCCCATTTTTTAATTGACTTGCTTGATTTATTGCTTTTTAATTTCTTTAGTTCTTTTTATATTCTGGATATCAGCTCTCTGTCAGAGACAGGGTTGGTGAAGATCCTTTCCCAGTCTTTAGGCTGTCATTTTGTTCTGATGACAATGTCTTTTGCTTTACAGAAGCTTTTCAGTTTCATGAGGTCCCATTTATTGAATGTTGATTTTAGAGCCTGTGCTGTTGGTGTTCTGTTCAGGAAGTTGTCTCCTGTGCCAATGAGTTCTAGGCTTTTCCCCACTGGCTCCTTTACCTCCCCCCTCCCACCCTGAGGGAGGAACAGTCTTGCTAGGCCACAGAGGAGGGCATGGCAGCCAGCCCTGAAGATACCTAATAAGCTAGGGTCAGATGGAAGGTGAGGAGGACCTCCCCTAGCAGTGGACTTGGAAAGGTGCAGGAAGGAGATGAGGGAAGGAGGGTGGGCTTGGGTGGAAATGAGGGATGGGGCTACGGCTGGGATATAAAGTAAAATAATGTGATTAATATAAAAAAATAAAACTGAACAAAAAATAAAATAAAATGTGTTATTTATACTGGTAAAAAGGATGCTCCATTTCAGACAATATGTTTGTTTCTTAATTGAACAAAAGAAACTTTCAAAGCCGACACACAAAGATTTCTGGAGATTCTAATGCTTAGCAGTTGATTCAAACTATACCCTTCCTTTCTTTGTTCTAACCCCTTGCCTCATTACAGAATAGTGTTTTCTCCCGTATGAATGTTTCTGCTTTCTGTGCCCTGTTTTCCTTTTCCCAGAAAGGTTCTGAAACCCAGTATATTTGATTTAGAACTTCTAATGTCAGCAAAAGAAAATGAGGAGATCACTTTGAAAATTAAACTTAAAACAGACTATAAAGAGTGTTTTGTGGTAAGTAGATACATAAAAAGTGACTCCAATATATACAATTGATGTCTTAGGTAGACAGGCACTCTCAAGTTTAAAAAGCAAAGAAAGTGGCCTTCAAGAAGTATTTGTTTATCTAATAATATCCAGACATGGACAAAGGGAGGAACTTTTAATCTTACAGTTGGACCAAGTGGGAGCAAGAGATTAGTTCAATTGTCACAGAGTTAGAGGGCGTTGCAGCTGGGGCTTGGCCTTCATTCTCACGAAGCCTTGTCCTGGCATGCACACTTAAACAGTGGCTTGCCATCTCACTGGGTCAGAGTAAAAGTTCATATTACTCATTTTCTAGAACTCTGGCCTGTACCAAAGGCAAGCCTTTCCCCCAGGAAACAGCCTCAGTTAGATGAATCTCCTTGCCTAGTGATTCTCGTGCATCCTGCTGAATTTCACACTCCTATTTCTCAGGCGTGAGTCTGGAGGTATGAAGAGAGAACCCCTGGAAAAACTAGCCTGTGAAGCTTCTTGTTAAATTCCTCTCTTTATATGGTCATTTCTGCTGACTTCATCCGATGTCTCTCCAGCAGAGTATTTAAGACCTGTACTTCATAAGATTGCTTGGCATAAGACATATATTTTTCAAGACGTTCTGATTCCAAACATTCTTATTTTTTTCTATCCTCTATTCTTTATATCTTCTGAACTCTCTCAGGACTCTGCTATTGAAGAATGACTTGTTGGTCCAGGAAATCCTCAACTTCATGCAATAGAAACTTAAAAAATTACAGTCTGTCAATGAAATACACATATAATTTTTTTTTTTTTTGCAAAATTAAACAAAGTTGACAACAGCCAACTTAAACAATAGAGAATGAACAGTCAAAAAAAACCCTTACATATAACAAAAAAGTGTAAGGGGTGTGGAAGTAAGGTGCCTCATTTAATGTGTGTATAAAAAAGTAAACTTAGTGAATCATGGTTTCTGGTGTTTGACAGTAGCCCCACCCGATCCATAGGCAACACTGATAAAAATAAAAGGCAAAGGAAGCAGATGCCATCTGAACCATGGAACATCTCCAGATCCTGTAATGTCAGCAGTCTATCTCAAAGAGTATCATGGAATAGGAAACACTAATTTCTGAGCAGGTTAGGAAGCAAATGCCTCCCCTGAAAAAAACAAAAACAAAACAAACAAAAAACAGATCCTATTCAGAAAAATTGGAACTGACACAATACTAATAACCCAAGAACATTCTAATCTCATACTGACAAAAAAAGAAAATCTCTTTATTTATTCACTATAATCCGTTTTGACATTCCAGCTGAATGCCAATTGACTTTGTTACAGAAGAACAAACAAGATCCCGAAATATTATGATTTTAGGTGAGTACACCTGTCTGCCCACCTGTTTTCCTGTCTTCCTGATTCCAATAAAAGGCAGATCTGGGTTTCAGATCCTCAAGACTCACAAGTGTCAAATCTTATAGGATGACTTCTTTTCAAATTCTCTATCAGCCCCGAGCTGTTATACATCTCCTGACTGTGTGCTTACTTCTGGAGACGGCCTATGGTGAGGACAATTGGTAAGGCTCTCCTTTTTCCTCATCGACTTCCTAGAAATATGTTCTCACTTTGATGGGGATACATATTGGATCTCACTGTTTTTAGGTTTGTGTTTCACTTTTCTAAACTCTGAGGCAAGATGTAGTTTCTCAAGCCTTTGTCTTGAGACCAAATGACTGCTTAACAAGTAAAAGGTTGTGTTCAAACTGATTTTTCTGCCTTGATTATTTCACTATCATCAACACCGCAAGTATGAGAGGAGAGGTAGCCTTGGCCTATATTTTGGGAGTAAGCTCTGCATAGGATATAATTCATCTCTAATTCTCAATGTGGTGTGTGGAATCAAAGGACTGCATGTTGAAGACTCCCCTGGGGAGAGGGCAAACATCTTGTCTCAAATAACAAAAAAGAAATCTAATAAATTATCCACAAAAAAGTATATAAATTGTACCATAAAAACCCATGTCTCATCAACTCTAAATATTTAGGGCTCTGTTGACAATACCTGGAGAAGATTTGTTTAAACAAAAGAAAAATGCAGAAACTTGTTAATATACCCTACTCTTCTAGACTTGTTCCTTTATACAAGGTTCTTTGTGTGATAAACCTATTTTCTATGTCCATATCTAAAGTGGGAATGAAATATCAGATTCCAGTTCCTACAAGGAGAAAATGTTATAGAAAAGGCTTGATGACTTTTGCCCAAAAGGAAGCATTGAGTTACAGGGGAGAAACCAGGGTCCACTAGCATGTGGGAAAGGAAAATCAACCAGATGGTAATGAATCCATGGAGCATTCAAGGAAGTTTTTAAAAATTTATTTATTATTATTTATTACAATTTATTCACTTTGTATCACAGCCTAGACCTCTCATCTTCTCCCAGTCCCACCAACCCTCCTTCACCTCCCCCTATGCCCCTTCCCTAGTCTCCTTCTAGGGGAGGTCCTCCTCCCCTTCTATCTGACCCTAGCCTCTCAGGTCTCATCAGTGCTGGCTGCATCATTTTCCTCTGTGGCCTGGCAAGGCTGCATCCCCCAGGGGGAAGTGATTAAAGAGCCATCCACTGAGTTCATGTCAGAGACAGCCCCAGCCCCCCTTACTAGGCTACCCACTTGGAAATGGAGCAGCATGTGGGCTGCATCTGAGCAGGAGTTCTAGGTCTTTTCCATGCATAGTCCTTGGTTGGAGTATCAGTCTCTGCAGGACCCCCTGGGCCCTGAATTTTTGGCCTTGTTTGTCTCCTTGTGGAGCTCCTGTCCTCTCCAGGTCTTTCTATCTCCCTCTTTTCTCCTTTTCCATAAGGTTCACTGTACTCTGCCCAAAGTTTGGCTATGAATCTCAGTATCTCCCTTGATGCCCTAATAGCTAAGTCTTTCAGAAGCCCCTCTGTGGAAGGGTCCTGTCCTTTTCCTACTTATGATGTGTATCCTGTTTGTCCTTCTGTATGAGGTTTCCCCTGGGTCCTCCTTGTTGTTTAGCTTCTTTAGGATAATAGATTTTAGTATGTTTATTCTATATTATATGGCTAATATCCACTTATAAGTAAGTATATGTCATACATGTCTTTCTGCTTCTGGGTTACCTCAGGACGATCTTTTCTAGTTCCATCCATTTCCTGTAACTTTCAAGATTTTGTTGTTTTCAATTGCTGAGTAGTATTCAATAAATGGGACCTCAGGAAACTGAAAATTTTCTGTAAAGGATAGGGCATTGTCAACAAAACCAAACAATAGCCTACAGACTAGAAAAAAGATCTTCACAACCCTACATAAGACAGAGGGTTAATATCCAGAATATATAGAGAACTCAAAAAATAAACACTAAAAAACCAAGTAATCCAATTAAAAAATGGGGTACAGCACTAAACAGAAAATTCTCTATAGAGGAATATAGAATGGCAGAGAAACACTTAAAGAAATGTTCAACGTCCTTAGCCATCAGGGAGATGCAAATCAAAACAACCCTGAGATTTCACTTTACACCCATCAGAATGGGTAAGATAAAAAAAACTCAAGGGATGACACATGCTGGAGAGGTTGTGGAGAAAGGGGAACCCTCCTCTGTTGCTGGTGGGAATGTAAACTTGTACAACCTCTTTGGAAATCAATCTGGAGCTTTCTCAGAAAATTAGGAATAGTGCTACCTCAAGATCCATCTATACCACTCCTGGGCATCCGAAAGATGCTGAACCATACACCAAAAACATTTTCCCAACTGTGTTTATAGCAGTTTTGTTCGTAATAGCCAGAAACTGAAAACAACCCAGATGTCTCTCAATTGAAGAATGGATACAATGGAGGGAGTTTTATCTGCCATAGAAGAAGATTTCTGTAATGAATCGGAGGATTGAGCAACACAGAAAACAAAATCAAGATGATTGGAGTTGGAAATCTAACTTTCATCAATTACAATTTTTGATGTCCCCTACTTTAGACCTAAAAACCAGTAAACTGAATAAAAAAAAAAATTGAAATGAATCAGTTGTTACTGTAAAGACAGGTTCATTATATGGTCAATTCTTCTTTTAGAAGAAAGAGAGTTCTGGAGAATTTTTCGATAATTGTAGATGGAAAACAGAAACTTGAGTACCCCAAAGTAGATTGTGATCACAAACTTCCATCATGGAATGAGGACAGAAAAAGAGAAGTTAACATTGCCAACCCAGCTTCCCACTGAACTACATTTGCTTCTCCCTGTTGGCTGTGTGTGTTGGCTAGAAACATGGACTACTTTGAGAGAAATCACGAGCAAAAGGTCCTTCCTGAGTAAGGTGTTGAACTTTACAAGCATTTCCCAACAGTTGACCCAGGTGCTTTCTTTGCCTTTCTATACAAAAACAACCTGAGATTTTTACATTCATGTGATTTTGTGTTTCTGTCTTTTCTACCTATACAGGATCAATCTACTTTCAATAGATATTAATGTTTCTCTGATAGATGAGGCAAATAAGCTTGAAGTAAAACTCACAATTCAAAATAATGTGAAAAAATGTATGGTGGTAAGTGAATAATTGAGTGTTAACATGAGATAAATGTTTTTTATCTCATTTTATCTCATTCTTTGTACTATAACAAAGAAATTTCAATGATTTATTATTTTTTCAAATATTGCCCTTTTAAGTTTTTCTATGTACATGGATTTGAAACTCAGATAAATTGTGTTGGAAATGATGTGTTACAAATTCCGTCCTAAAGGTAAAGTAATAAGATTGCGAAGGAGTTTGGTGAGTAGGGCTTAAGAGTCTTCACAAACAAACAAGATGAAAATTTAGAGGAAAAATTATTGGAAGAGTGAAAAATCACATAAGATGGCAATGAAGCAAAGATAAAAATGACTGAGTGACAGTGACCAGGAAATGCTATTGGACTTACATTCCTACCTCTACTCATCTCCTGACTCCACCTCATGCAGTAAAGATGCACAGTCAAGAAGATACAGATCAGGATACTTAGGCAGATGTAAGAAATATAGGAGTGAGGTGACCTTGTGTTGTCCCTCAATGTGAGTGTTTACTTGTCTCCCCCTCCCCCAAAGCACAGATATGCACTGTCTCAACCTTCATTTCTGGGTCTACTTTCTTCTTCAATTATTCCAAACTCTTTACCTCTTGCTCAATTTCTTTAACATTTCCTACAACATTATCTCTTTTGTCTCTTAGAAAAGAGGTACCAGAAGAAAGTTTGAGGTCTGGAGATAACAGTTCAGGGTTTAAGACCACTTGTAGCTCCTTCAGGGCATCCTGGGTGGCTCACAGCCCTCCATCACTCCAGTTGCAAGGCCTCTGACATCATCTTATGGTCTTTGTGGACATCAAGAACACACACATATTCTCACACATAAAATTTTTTAAAATGAAATCTTTTTTAAAAAACTGAATTAAAAATATAATTACAAAGAAGGAAAGAAAATTTTAAGTTGTGCCAAAAGCTATAACAGAAACACAACAGTCCCTGCTATATACACAAATAAAAATGATGCTAGAAATGCTTTTTGATCTGGTGTCCAGCAGATACTTTAAAGTTCTCTCTAGTAGGTTTTTACCAGAGTAGGTTGCTTAACCCTTGCAGAAGAGGTCATTACTTATATCTGACCATTGATTAGAAGATTTATATCTTTTGGATGAAGAGAAACAATGCTAAAATACTAGCCAAGAATTTTTCAATCTGGGACTGTTTCTATTTGTACAATAAACATGTTAGTTTAAGTTTAAAATGATACTTTCCACCAAGAAAATTCAGAGACCCACAACAAGTAACATGGGTTTCAATACTTTTATCTCACAATCACAGAAAGAAAATCAGTGTAACAAGTACTCTATCACAAAGCTAGAAATTCAAAATCAGAGAGTTGGAGTTATAACCTCTGCTTATTAGTCTTTGTCATACTCAGTTCACCACAGCAGAGTAGACAACCTTGTGGCTATGAACTTAAAACCCTTCTTGGTTCTTGAGAACTTTGTATCATTCCTTTTTGACTCTGATTTAGAGATCTTCAACCACAGGCTAGATGAAAACCAACTAATGTCCTAAACATAATGCAGCTCCACTATTCTTTGGGACACACACACACACACACACACCCGGGGCTGGGGGGGGGGGGGGGGGAGAGACCCATATATAGTTTCATTCCATTAGATGGATACATGTAATATTGAATGTAATGTTGACAACTCTAAAAAAAAAAAAAAAAAAAACACAAAAAAAAAAAACACCTAACTTTTAAATGAGTTTTTCAGTATGCCAATAACAAAAGCAAGAATCTGTTGGTTTTTTTCTTACATTGGATGGGGGCAAAATTTAAGTTTGACACATAAATTCAAGAAAATATGTTAAGCATCTAGAATATCCTGATACCCAAGAGCAAATACTTAGTCCTCTCTTCCCCATATTTTCCTGTTAATTGATTATTTTGTTTAATGGTCAATCCCAGGCTGCTTTCTCTGTATTGACACTAACCTTTTTCTGCTTTCTTTACTCAGGTGAAAGTCAGTATTGAGGACAATCCAAACATTACATACCTTTCAGCTCACGCAACTTACACTGCTTGCATTTGTAGCTTAAACAACTACTTCTGGGACATTCAAATCTCTGGTAAGTGGCAACATTTCCTACCTACTTATGAATGTTGGATAACAGTGAATGTCAGGATGTATTAGTGTTAGAAGAAAATAAGAGAAACCAGGTTGTAATAGGAAGAAAAGAGGAAAAGTGACTGGAATATGGATGAGAAACCACAATGAAAGTGAATGAGGGGAGAGAAGACACTGAAACTAAGGGAAGAGAATTTACACAGCAATTTCTTTTTACATTGAATACAGTAATAAAATTAGACTATGCTAAAACCAGGAGGGAGTGTGGATGAAGCTATATGGAGTTCATGATTTAATACTTCTGCTTTCCTTCCTGTAGCAAATACTGTCTTAATAGGAAAGGCAGAAGTTGTTACAACTGAGAACATATGTCCTGATGATGAAGACATATTCCCAGTAACTTCCTACACAACGACTGTTTCACATGAAATCCTTGTAACAACATGAACTAGAAGATGACCCCCATTCCAGATCTATGTGACCAAACTACCTGCAGGGAACAGTGTTCCTTTCATGTATGCATATCTGAAGTAAAATAAAATTGAGTGAAATGAACTCTGGTAAAATATCTGTGTGATAAATAAACTTCTACAACTTCACAATGAACTTTCTGAATTTTCTCCCTAAGTTACTGCTCTATCTGCCCAGATAGCCAAATGTTTCTTTAACAATGTTTTTCCAGGACACCCTCACAAAAATGACATAATAAGCATTTGAATTTTAGTGAGTGAGGTCAGAACTAGTTCTTACCACTTAGCACAGAAGAGAAAATGCCCAAATACAGGAAGAGCAGCTGTTTGCAGAGTAACACAGAAAATTCAGTGTAGAACTGAGGAAAGAATTCAAGTTCTTCTACCACTAATTTCAACTACATCCAATTGTCCCTCCACACTATCTAATCTATACCTTTCTTCTTTTCATCTACTGACCAGAAAAAGACTCGGAGTTTCTGATGCATTTGGATAACAAGTCATTCTTTGTGTTGTGCCATTGACTTTCTTGCATAAGAAAAATTCAAAGAGTTGAGTGACATACTGTCTTAGTATGAAACAAAGGTCTGCTGGAAGCATGTAGCCACTGAAGGTTGAAGCTTTTGGAAAATGGCCTGGCAATACTTTGTCAAATACTTTACGTTACATACCTGATCTTGCAGTATGTTCAAAAATTAGAAGTGATGATAACCGATAATACTTGCATGCTCTGTTTTCCAGTCCAATATGCTCTCTCTATCAAGAATACAGTGACACTTAACAACCATGCTTCCAAAATGCTTGCCACATCTTCTTTTTTTATATATACATTTTTTATTATTATTATTAGTTACATATTATTAACTCTGTATCCCAGCTGTATCCCACGTCCTCATTCCCTCCCAAACCTTCCCTCCCTCCCTCATCTCCTCCCTGCCTCTTTCCAAGTCCACTGATTGGGGAGGACCTCCTCCCCTTTCGTCTGGCCCTGTTTTATCAGGTATCTTCAGGACTGGCTGCAAAGTCCTCCTCTGTGGGCTAGGAAGACTGCTCCTCCCTTGAGGGGGTGGGGAGGTCAAAGAGCCCACATCTTCTAAGATTCTTGTTTCCTCTCCTTCCTTCAGCCATTGCCTAGAAGAGAAAGAAATCAGGGTCCCAAGAAGTACACAGAGAACTTGATACGCTAGCTTGATATCAGATCTATAGATCTTAACCTGCACTGGCAGTGAAGACACACAGAAGCAGTAGTGTGATAAGGGTCATGTCTGCAGCTGAAAGGTGCATAAACCAACACATATGCCAACTCACCAACCTTCACATTCACACCCCACTTCCTCCACTTCTCCCTACTGACATCTCCCCACATCCAACCTGCTTACTGCCAGAACATGCTGTATAGGGTCATAGGAATTTGGTGAAAAAATTATCTCCAGAAGCCTAAGCAGAACTAAGTATAAATATGGGTAGACAGAATTTCTGCAATACCTCAGAGGCTCAACAGAAGCCCAGTACAGACTTGCTAATCTGCCAACTATAGAGAAATGAGAAAGGAGGGATTAAATAGAAAACTGTTTTCACTAGCAGAAACGTCTGGGGTTACAAAGCTAAAGAGAGAATTCTCAAAAGAGAAATATCGAATGGCAGAGAAACACTTAAAGAAATGCTCAACATCCTTAGTCATTAAAGAAATGCAAATAAAAATGACCCCAAGATTCCAACTCATACCCATCAGAATGGTTATGATAAAAACTAAAGGGCTCTATCTCCCCCTTCTTTCATAAGATTCCCTGCACTCTGCCCATGGCTATGAGTCTCAGCATCTGCTTTGATACCATGCTGGATAGCGTCTTTCAGAGGCCAAGTGGATACCCTAGTAAGGGGAACAGAGACTGTCTCTAACATGGACTCAGTGGCTGGCTCTTTGATCACTTCCCCCTGAGTGAGGAGCAACCTTACCAGGCCAGAGAGGAAGACAATCTGGTAGGCTAAGGTCAGATGGAAGGAGAGGAGGACCTCCCCTATCAGCGGACTTGGAGAGGGGCATGGGCAGAGATACATAGGGGACAGAAGATGGGATTGGAAGGGGCTACAGCTGGGATACAAACTGGATAAACTGTAATTTATGTAATTTTTTAAAAAAGGAAAAAACTCAAGGGATGATGCATGCTGGAGAGGGAGTAGAGAAAGAACCCTCCTCTCTTGCTGGTGGGAATGTAACCTTGTACAATGACTTTGGAAATCAATCTGGTGCATTCTCAGAAAATTAGGAATAGTGCTTCCTCAAGATCCAGCTATACAAGGTCCAGTCCATGCATGGTCCTTGGTTGTTGCTTCAGTCTCCACAAGCCCTTCTAGGCTCCAGTTACTTGGCTCTGTTGGTCACCTTGTGGCACTTCTGTCTTCTCAGGGTCCTTCTATACCTCCCCCAAGTTTTTCACAAGACTCCATGCACTCCTCCCAATGTTTGGCTCTCAGTCTCTGCATCTGTTTCCATCTCCTGTTGGGTGGAGCTTCTCAGAGGACAGCGACGCTAGTCTCCTGTGTGCAAGCATAAAAGAGTATCATTTATATTTGTTTCATTTAATGTAAAATAAGTTCACTATATAATACACTCCACAGAGACTGGAGATACATTCCACTAAAGCCTTTAAGTTTAAATTAGTACACTAAACTTTGTGTGGTTAGCTTGATATGTGTGACTAAGATGGTTTAGTTTTTATAGTTTCGCAAAGAAACAACCAAAATACAACAAAATACTTTTTAGTATTTACACCAACTGGTAAATACCAAAAGGTGAGATACTGTTGTCAGGAGGATGTTGCAGTCAATTCTCCAACAGCCATCTTCTGAAATATCCATTTATAACAAAGTCTTACAGAGATGGTATGAGCTGTTTTTCTGTCATCAATGCAGCAGGAAATGCCAACAAACATGAGTGACCTAAGTTTGGAGCTTTGGGTTGGCATGTTTCTTAGCCATATTTGGTTGATATAAATATATGTAACATGTTTATCATTGATAAGAAAACTGATGAATCATGATATTGTTTGAAGTAAAACAGAAACTCCAAAAGGAGATCAACAAGGCCAAAAACACCTAGGCCCAGGGTTTTCTTTCCTAAAGAAGAATTCTTTCTTTCATAAAGCAAGAATTTACCCTAATTAAAGTGTTTTGAGGCAAACTTTGTATGTCTGAAAATTTTACATGCCAGTCTCAGGAACTTCTTGGATTTCATTTCAGATTATGTCTGGAAAGAGATGTTGGATCACCTGCATTTGTGTGACATGTTATCAAAGCTGAAATTTTAAAACAAAATAAAAACATGTCAGAAAGATAACACAAACTTGATTAAGAAAACTGACTCTTGGTTCCTAGTTAAGAAATCTGGTGTAATTTTTTATTCATCTTGTTTCAGCTCTTTTAGAAAAGACTTTTGCATGCCTGTATTGCCATGTCTTTAATAAATCAATGGGTGTACCCAATTTTCTTTCCAAAAAAAAAAATCCAGCTATACCACCCCTGGGCATGTATCCAAAAGATGCTCAAGTACACAACAAGGACATTTGCTCACCTATGTTCATAGCAGCTTTATTTGTAATAGCCAGAATCTGGAAACAACCTAGATGTCCCTCAATGGAGAAATGGATACAGGAAGTGTGGTACATTTACACAATGGACTACTACTCAGAAATTAAAAACAAGGAAATCATGACATTGCAGGCAAATGGATGGAACTAGAAAAGATCATCCTGAGTGAGGTAATCCAGAAGAAAACAGGACCTATGATATAGACTCACTTATAAGTGGATAGTAGCCATATAATATACGATAAACATACTAAAATCTATTGTCCTAAAGAAGCCAAACAACAAGGAGGACCCTAGGGAAGAGACTGAAACCTCATTCAGAAGAGCAAACAGGATAGACATCAGAAGTAGATGAAGACAAGAAAGAGGAATGGAGCCTTCCACGAGGGACTTTTGAAAGACTCTCCCACCAGGGTCTGGAAGGAGATACTGAGACTCATCACCCAATTTTTTGCAGAGTGCAGGAAACCTACAGAAGAAGAGGGAGATAGGAAGACCTAGAGAGGACAGAAACTCCACAAGGAGATCAACAAGGCCAAAAAATAAAACCTAGGCCCAGGGTAGCCTGCAGAGACCAATACTACAACCAAGGACCATGCACGGAGAGGAGCTAGATTCCATGCTCAGAGGAAGTCCTTATGCTGCCTCTTTTCCAAATCGGTGGTCTAGTAAGAGGGGCAGGGGCTGTCTCTGACATGAACTCAGTGGATGGCTCTTTGATCACCTCCCCTTGGTGGATGCAGCCTTGCCAGACCACAGAGAAAGATGATGCAGTCAGCCCTGATGAGACCTGATAGGCTAGGGTCAGATAGAAGGGGAGGAGGGCCTCCTCTAGCAGGAGACTAGGGAAGGAGGATGGGGGAGAAGAGGGAGGGTGTGTGGCATTAGGAGGAGACAAGGGAAGGGGCTACAGTGAGGATACAAAGTGGATAAATTGAAAAAAATAAATATGTGAATAAAATTTAAAAATCTGGAAGGCATTAGACTAGATAACATAAGTCAGCCAGAATTACAAATTCTTCATGTCTCTACTTATAAGGGATCATTGAAATAGTCAAAATTATAGACACAGAAATTCTGCACGACTAGAATGTTTGGATAAAGAAGTTTATATAATGGTGGTTGTTCCACCCAGACCCAAGATCCTGTAATAATGACTCATGGGACTCAAAATATATTTACAAATATATAGGCCATATAGCAAGACTTTTCTCTGACTAGCTCATAACTTAAAATAACCTTTTTTTCTATTTTTACTTCTGTTACATTGTTAGTTACCTGTGCTCCAGTACCATGCATCTGTCCTCCTCATATCTTCTCATATCATTGTTGCATGTCTGGCTCTCTCCCAGAATTTTTTTCTGCCTAGCAGATGCCCCAATTTCTATTC